TTATCGAGACAAGTTATTTTTTCTGGGCAATAAATAAAGTTCCTAGCAGGTACATACATACATACACAAAACGACAAGTGGATTTGTGCTGGCAATAATTGAGTTTTCCTTATCTTAGGTTCTGCTGGAAATTAAAACCTTTTGCAATGTTGATAAGGACTTATCGATTGGAAGTGGAGATAAATTGTGTCATTAGAAATTAGGACAGTGGATAATATACAGCTCCATACTATACTTTAAATTATTGTGAGATTTGAAGCCGGAATGTTATCGGATTCTATATTGGCTAATTCAATATCCCCCCCCCCCCCAAGACCCTTAAATTTCATGAATAATTCTTCAGAATTAAAATAAAGAGTCCCAAAAATAGCGTAAAGAAACCTAAAAAAGAGGCGTGGCAGCCAAAGATTTCGCGCCTGCGGCGCTTTGCCTCCGGCAACGATCGCTATGGGACCGCAAGAAATACTTCCTGCAAATTTGCCCCCCCCCAAGACAAAATCCTGGCTACGCCACTGGGTGCCATCACTTTATCTACACTTGGCTGCATCGGCTAAGGGTTTATCTTGAAAAGAGGTTATGGGGGGAAAAGAAAGATTTCCCAACTATTAGTTAATACATCTAATGTTACACCTTAACTTATGTAGGAGATGATTAAGAGGGGTTTATCAAAAGTAGATAGCAGTAAATGTTCTTCCCTGGATTGCTATCATATACATTCCTTGGAATGCCCGTTTCTAGGCAAAGCCCTCTGCGCTATCAATAGTATCAATGTTGCCAAAGCTACCCCGTTCGGGGTAGATCTACCTCTTTTGAAAACAATCTCGCCCTGCTGTTCCCCTCGACTAAATCTACCCCGCTCTCAATACAATGCTATAACACAAAAATAATGCTTATTGCTAATAAAAAATACTGACAAAATCAAAATTGTGAGAAACAATTTATTTATTTGAACTGTATGCAACGAGTTTTTTTGTCCACGCCTATGATACAACATCATTTACAGATTCCTCCAACATTAGCGCCAGCATAGTACCCCTAACAAAAAAATGTATATTCTCTATTTTAGGTTTCTTGGATTTTTTCAGTGTCTCCTTTGAATTTTAGGTGTCCCTTCCCTTGTCCCTTCAAGTAGAAAATTATGTAAAAACATTATAGTTATTCACCTAATAAATGCGGAAAGTGATACTTTACGCATGTGATGGGCACAAAATTTCACCTATATCCTATATTATTTAGCAAAGTTTAGTCTACTTTATCGCACACTGCGGTAAAGTACTACTTTTCGCACACTCTGCGGTAAAGTTCTACTTTCCGCACGCTCGTAGGTGAAATTTCTTCCCGTAATCTGCTCCAGTAAAGAAAGAGCTTGTGGCAACACTGAATAGTACCCAAACAGCCCTATGAAAATGTACCCTCGAGGAGCTTAGTTTCCATAGGTCTTGCATGACATTCACCTTAGGATTTTAGTCGAACTGTAGCAAGTTACACTCAACTTGGAAAGAAAGTCTTTTAGCCTGTACCCTCGAGGAGCTTGAGGCTGTGGAGACTAACCTCTGCCCGACTGCATTGCGGTGCGCGTAATTTAAACAAGAATTATAGCTACCGTCAGCAGACTCAGTCAGGGACGTAGCCAACAGGGGGGGAGAATAGGAGCGCCAAAATAGGCCGAAGTGTAAAAAATAAATAATTTTTTTAGCCAAACGGCAAGGGAAAAAAAAGTTTCCGTGTAGGTAATTAAATAGTAGGTATACTATTTTACAAATATTACAATTCAGAATGGATAGTATTTTAATGCTAATTCAGCATGCATTTAAACGCTGGGCTGGAGGGCGCCCGAGCATGCCCCAGTCAGGAGTTCCATTTCTCTCTGAACACGCCCTAATCAAAAGTTCCATCAAAGCGGGACGCATTTTTCCATTTCCCATTTGGTTACCACTACATAGGACGCTAATCCTTTAGGACTTGTAAAATTATATCTGGCATCGCGTTTCCTATTAGGCCAGCGCACATTGTTTACCGCTACATGGAGCGCTAATCATATAGGACTTGTTAAATTGTATCTGACGTCGCGTTTCCTATTAGACCAACGCACACACTCTGCGATCGTTTGCAGACATTTCGTTGTCTCGTTTTATTATTTCTGTTGATTCTAGCCAAAAGTTCTTTACTAATGGATTTTCGGCTATCATAGCAGACATTTTAGCTGTAATTGCAAAACGATCCTATTCTAACTAGTAGTAGAACGCACTTTACTAAGTTATCAAAAAGTACCTTGGTTGTAACAGTAACATTCTTTACTGCCACTAATACTTTTTTCCTGTTACAGTAGAAACTATTATTTTTAATAAGTATCTATATTTGCTACCGCGGCAAAGTGCTTGGCTGGAACTATGAGAAAGTGTTTCAAAGTTTTTTCTTATTACTACTGGAGAAAATTTCACTGCTACAAAAAAAATTAAATTCTGCAAGTTGTTTTATTAATTATTATTGAAAACCAACCCAATGGTTGGCAATATGAGCGTAGTTATTTAATTTACGTGCGCTGGTCTAGAAGCGAACGCGACGTCGGATATAATCTAACAAGTCCTAGTCCTATAGGAGCTGCGCACCATGAAGCGGTAGACAATGTGCGCTGGCCTAATAGAAAACGCAATGCCAGATATAATTTTACAAGTCCTAAAGGATTAGCGCTCCACCTAGCGGTAACCAAATAGGAAACGGAAAAATGCAAACGGCATAACGGAAAGTCGGTGTCCCGTCACTCTTGGTTTCGGTGACGTAATCACGTATTATTGATACTGATCGATCAATAGTCAATAATGAACCACATTTGTTTAAAATTGGCAAAATTTGGATGTGGTCACCAAATATATAATTTTTTTTCACCCTTGGATTGCCTTCGCGGCGCTTAAGGAGCGCCGGATCTTAGCCTTCCCCCCCTAGGGATATTCATATCGCTACGGCCCTGGACTCAGTTAATTTTCTGTAGGTAGTATACGAGTGCCAAATTGATTTTATTTTTGTAGTCTGTGGGGCCCAAATTGCCTAACACAATTTTATCTCAGGAACTATAAGTGCAAATGAGCTGAATTTTTCAGGGATTGTAGTCCTTTGGAAAAGATAAAATTCAGTGAAAGATTCAGCTTTCTATCTATAATAGAAAAAAAGTTATGACCTTTCAAAGTTTTCCAAAATCTAAATCATAAAAAAGGTACCTTCTTACTAAAACGATGAAATTTCAAATTTTTTTTGTCGAGATTTTGTATCCTTGTGGTCAATCAACAAACCCCAACCTCAATACACAAAATTATTCTCAGATTTGAAGCCGAAATCTATGAAAAAAGGCACTCAGAAAAATTGAAAAATTGATAAATCATCCCAAATTGCTTAACACGATGTTATCTCAGGAACTATAAGTGCAAATGAGCTGAATTTTTCAGGGATTGTAGTCCTATGGTTTAATCAATTGTCCTGCCTTAATTTTCCTTGATTAGGTACTTAATTCATTGTCGTCGATATCACTTATTTGATCTTCCTCTAGTAACTCTTCTAAAATTGGGGACTTTGCGGTCCACAGGTCGTAGTAGGGTAATATCCTACTAACGTGGACTGTGTCCTTCTTTTTCCCTCCAACTTTTTGTATTTCATAATCTATTTTTCCTAACTTTTTTACTATATTCATTACCATTTCAATAATAACTTTTCACTTCTGCCCACTTTCCTTATTGGTATAAAAATTTCAACTTTATCTCCTATATCAAATTGCAAATCCCTGATGTGATTGCTAGCAAACCTCACTTTGTCTTTTCCTTGCCTTTTATGTAGATGTTTTCTGTTGCTATGGCTCTTATACTCAAGGCTCTTTCTCTTAGTTGTAGCATATTCGTCTTTACGTCTTCTTAGTCTCTGGAATACTTTTCTTAATTTCTGTATGTGTTCTTCTTTCGTTTTTGAAAAAATGATAATGTCATCCATATACACTAATATTTCCTTCCATTTTAAATCCTCAAAAACTATATCCGAGAGTTCTTGAAAAACAGACGGAGCATTACATAAGCCGAATGGCAGGACGTTGAACTCGTACGAGTTATGGCCTTGTGCCACGAAAGCCGTGTATTGTTTTGAATTTTCCAAAATCTTGTAGATCCGTCTTTCTTGGTTACTAGCACCACTGGGTTTGTCCATGCGGAATGACATGGCCTGATGATCTCATGTTCTAACATTTCCTTTATTTGCTCGTCCATTTTTTTACTTTCTAGCTGTGATACTTTGTAAGGGCGCCTTTTTATTGGTCTGGTGTCTGTCTCTATTTCAATTCTGTGTTATATTAAATTTGTCTTGCCCATGTATTTTGGAGCTTTGGTGAAGACATCATTGAACTCATTTAAAAGGTCTTTTTTAGTGTTTTGGTCCTTTATGTTTACTAAGTTATTGTTTTCCGTTGAAACTCTTATCATTATTAACCTCTAACATATTGCACGGTATCTCTGTATTAAATTTTTTGTGTTTCCTTTTTTTCTCCATGTTACATCAAAACTCACTAAATAAACTATGAATATATTTTATTGCACTTTCAATAAATAACAATTAAAGGCCTTGAAAATTACCACAATAAATTTCTTCAACTAAAGCTTGTGTACCTAAATACTAAAGAGTTTTGGCGTTAAACTATTATTAGTACCTACTACTCGTAATAATTAGACAAGTTTACAATAATTAAAGCTTCAATATTAAACCCAAAACAGAAATAACAATTTTGTGCATTAAAATCACAATCTAACCCTAGAGGAATTGTAACATATATCATGACTAGTAAATTGGATTTTGATAATTACCAATAATAAAAGGACAAATTACTTAAAGAGAGATTTTAAGCCACATATTTTGTCACTGGTGGATATAACGTTTACTTTTTCTGGCCGATTATGGAAATTCTAAAAGGTTCTTCTTCAAAAATCTCATTTCTCAAAAAGTTTTTCCCCTTAACTATCCAATAATTTTTAGGGAGGTATCAGCGATTCGTTGCCGTTGGAACGAGGAGTGTAATTTTTATCTTCGGCTTCTAGTTTGAGAAATAATTTGATGCTGCAAACTACCCCTACTACTTGCAGTACACTGACTCCTAAGGAAACTGCACAGATTATCCAGAGACCGAGTTTGAGGATGATTGTTATTTTATCTTCGCAACCCTAGAATAAAATATTTATCATATCAATGACATATTGCTCTTGCCAACTCTTGTTAAAATGCCACTTACCGCATAGAATATATTTGATGGATGGTCTCTCTTTCCGCAAAGAAAAGTAGGCGTTTTGCAGCAGGAATCTGGCACTTTGTTCATGATTCCTGGAGAACCTTTTATCCATCTGCTGTATTGCCAATCGGAGAATGATTGGGCACCACAACAATGAAGCTAAAAATAGGTATCAAGTAAAGATATGTATATAAATTTCTATTTATTCTTTATCAGATTTAGTAAGAATATGTTCAAGGTGATTTTTCATTTTCTTGATTGAAATTAAAAATTAAAGATTCAAAGTGAGACAATAATTTTGAAACTTCTATTGCTTACATTTTCCTGAATAAAATCCACAGAATCAGTTTTCGAATTTCGATTGTAGTTTTCCAAGAATGAGGAATTTAGTCGTAATGTAACGTCTTCGTTTACGCTGTGTTGGTAGAAATAGGCCAAAATTGCTACCAGCGACTCTAGAAGGAATATGAATACCAGCACTAAAATAAACTTTGAAAAAAAATTCTATATTAATTTGTTTCATAGGTACCGAAATTAGCCTTAAGCCCGTATTACATCTGCGTATTTCTTCATGTATATTACAGTTCAGAGTGACAACCGAAAAACTTCAAATGCAACATAAATCAGCATTATGAAAAACATGATAATTTTGGCACTCTTAAACTACATGAAGAAATACACAGATGTAATACGGGCTTAATGAGGAAAAAAAGTTACTTACAACAAATATAAGCTTAGTCCTATTCTTTGGTATGGCACAGAATCCAAATATGAAGGCACAAATGACTAGACAACCCGTAATAATAAATAAATATAAAATGGCGGAATATAAATTCAGATCAGCCACAGTAAAGTAATGGTGGGTTTCCAGATATTTCCATACTCCCACAACGATTATGGCTACACCAGTTAACTGAAAAAGAAATAGAAATAATTAGTTTTTGTTCATTTAAATTAATTGTGTTAGGACGAGAAAAGCCTCATTGGTTGACAACGAATAAATATATATCCTATTCACAATCTGTATAGTCCAAAGGCACAGGTAAATTTATCACCTTTCCCTATCAAATAGCATTGAAAGGTGATAAATTTCACCTGTACCTTTGGACTACAGATTGTGAATAGATAATATTTCTAGGATTTTTTATAAAATAAAATTCTAGAGAGTTGAATAAATCCAAAGATAAAAGCTTACTACAGAAATATTTCACGGATCATTTAAAGAAGTTACAAAATTCATGACTAAAACACATTGTCCCTCGGTCTTTCCTATAGAATTTGTAACCTGTACTTACCAAGAACACAAATTGGTAGGCATATAAAATAGCCTTGATAACAGAAATACGACAGCAGCCATCGTCATTCATCTTCGTTTATTTTATTCCAAAACGATGAATTCCACGTATCGAAATTTTAACTGCATGGTAATAATCTAAAATACAAAAGGTTTGTTTAAAAAACCAAAATCACTCAACCTACTCCTAAAATGTAAATTTAAAAATAATCTGGAAAGAATTTCAGAGATGCAGTTTCATTATATTTGTTAGCAACCTGTAGACAACTTACCTAAATTGTCCATCAAAAAAATCTGAAAAAACAAATACATAATTATTACTAAACTAAAAACGAACAAATAATCCCAATTTTTTGATTTTATTTATTGTTTAAATAATTACCATATAGAAATATAGAATCCTATAATAAACAATAGAGACGAATGCATAAATCATTAAAATAAAATTTTGCTAGAAGTTTTCAACTTGCAAAAATTGAAAACGAATTTTTGCAAATCAACAACTACACTCTGTCCAACGAACCTACGGAGTAAGATTGGCGACCAGTGAACACTGATTTATGCTATTTATTTATTCCAAAATCTTACAAAACGTCACTCTACAGTGTACAGCGGGCTGATAAATGACCAATAGCAACGAACCTTTTTGAAGATTTTGTTGTTTGTCACTCCATAGGTTAATTGGACACAGTATAATATCTAATTACATCAAATACATTTTTTCATTATTAATCCTAACTAGAAGATTATATAAAAATTTGTACAAACTAAAACATAATAATTGACCTATATTTACAATACTTGTAAAAAAAATTGGTTAATAATTTCAATAACAAAATACATAAAATTATATCGATCACAAAATACTTGGTATAAATCACTTTTAGAAAGGCAATACATAAATAAGAATACAGAGTGTTCCAAAAAAATAGTATGAGTAAATAAAGTGCTAAAATAAAGGAACATTATTAAATGCAAATTGTATTAATAGCCAAATTACCCTGCATTCTTACTCATAATTATTTAAAGTATTTTCCAATTTTGATACAACATTCCTATAAAAATTCAATTGCTCTTGTAAAAATTCCTTAAGCGCCAACTTTAGATCGTGATCCCTTTCCTGTTGGAAATGCTCCAATTCCGCAAACACCGTGTAAGTGATGACGTCCGATCGTCTTCTGACGTCCGTCAAAGCCAACTGCGGCACTTGATTATTACGTTCGCAATCTTTCTTTTTTTGTTCGGCCATTTTTTGCATTTGCAGTATGTTCGGTAAACTAGAAGTTATGCCTTTGTAGATGTAGAGTTTTTGTGTTAGAGGTTCCCAGTCGATTTTGGCTTGGTCCTCGTAGAGCTTTCCTATTATTGTGAACGTTGATCCGATATTTTTGACGTCTAGAAAAAGTTAAACTACTTCACTTGAGAATTTAAATGAGATTTTTCAAGTGGCGTGCAAAATATCCTAAGATAAAAATTCAATCAGTTTCATAATATAAAATGAACTAATTAGTTAGGTAATAAGGTAATTTTTTTTTGACATGGTTGTTGCGTTCCACTATAAATAAATAATTCAAATACCAATTCCTTACCAAGTGATGCTTTAGTAAACATTCCTTGTTGATTATACTCGAACGCGCTACCCAATGCAAGAAAAGCGGCACCCACTCTTGAAAATTCCCTCTTATACATATTAATACACTTTTTCTGCTGATCTTGAGAAGTGCTCATCAAATTTTTAATACACTGATCCATTTTGTCTATGTATTTGATATTTTCGTCTATTTTAACATCGACCAGGGAAGGCATTAGTTCTTTTTCGGGTGCGTCTACGCTTAAACAAAAACTGGCACCTATCAGTTGGTCTTTTTCCGCATTACGTTTGCCTTGTTTCCATTGCTTTTCGTCTGTGCATGTTAAAAAGTGTATCCAAACGTCGCAAGTTGACAACACTGGATGCCTACACATATAGTTGATGAATTCTTGCAACAGTGCTCTTCGTTGTTCTATAAAACCTTCATCATATCTTCCAGAAACCTACAAAATAATACATAATTATAAAAATCAAGTATAAACCAAGGATATTCTCCTTTTGTATTACTCATTAAATGAATGATTTCTCAGGAATTGTAGTAAATATAAAACCTTGCAATACCTGTTTATCTGGCAAAGGTGGTATGGCAATCAAATTAAATTTTTCCGTTAACCGATCGTGTAACCAATCAAAATGCTTGTATCTTCTGGACACCTCTATGTTGGTGAACGACGGTGTCAATTGGTAGGCTATAAACGATTTGAGGCCTCCCATTTTCGTGGCTTTCTTTGGCGAAGCTATTTGGACTGTGTAAGGATTCGAAATGTTCTCCCAACGGCCTAATTGTTCGTCTCCTTCTCGGTATATGTGAATCCGTTTCGAGGCAGTACTCGAGAAATCTTTGGTTAGACCTAGAATCCATAATAATAATACATATTTATTTGATCAAAATATTTTACAAATTGGTTTTGGTAATAATTTAAAGCTTTTTCAATGTTTTAATGGCATACCTAAATGATCTGTACATGATAAAGAACATAAATTGGTATGGCTACATGTAACTATTTACTCATTTATTCATGAGATAGGTTTGTTGTAACCTGTGGTTGAACTACTCGAAAAAATATACAAAAATCTCCATCAAATATTAGGTCTGTTCGCAGAGAAATCACAAACCAGTCAGAGCAAATTTCATTGGTTGAAACTAGTTTTCTGACCGTTTCTGATTGTTTTCAACCAATGAAGTTCGCTCTGACTGGTTTGTGATTGCTGTGCGAACAGCCCTATTAACATGCCCAAATCAGGGTTGTAGCTAGAGTCAAATTTGTGATAGGGCATGACAAATTTGACATAGGGTATACACTACTTGCTACTTGCACCCTCCCTTTAATTATAAGTAAATAATCCGGTGGTAATGGCGCCGAAGGCAAAGTTTTCAATAAATAATATCTTTGGCAAGTAAACAAAATGGCGCTGATTCTCGGGCCGCCTTGGACCATTCGCACCAAGGATAATACACACTAAAACTGAAATCCATTTGTAAGTTCAGTGCGCACTGAGTGCATTCGTGTCCTTTTCTACTAGCATGATGTAAAAGAAAGTGACAGAAATACATGTTTTTTGCACTAATTTCACCAATGGTTTTCGCCATAACTACCAGTGGCGGCTCATCAAAGGAGGCAGGGGAGGCTGAACCTTCCTCTAATTAAAATAATAATTAACAAATTACACTTTCCAATTTTCGGTATTTCAATGTAATTTAGAAAAGTCTGACAACATTATTTCAATCAATCCCGCGCCTCCACGACAAATATCTATGAATCTGGGATACTCAGTTATACCGGCCCGAAGGGCCGGAGTTATATGCGAGCCCGAAGGGCCGGAGTTATATGCGAGCCCGAAGGGCCGGAGTTATATGCGAGCCCGAAGGGCCGGAGTTATATGCGAGCCCGAAGGGCCGGAGTTATATGCGAGCCCGAAGGGCCGGAGTTATATGCGAGCCCGAAGGGCCGGAGTTATATGCGAGCCCGAAGGGCCGGAGTTATATGCGAGCCCGAAGGGCCGGAGTTATATGCGAGCCCGAAGGGCCGGAGTAATACGAGCCCGAAGAGCTAGATTTATTTTAATTACGGGGCCTAGTTTATAATTCTATTGGTGAGCAATAATTTAGAACTAATTGAAAACCGGGAGTATTTAAAATGCGATTTCTAACGTCTGATCAAAGAGTCAGTAATATTCAAAAACTTTAGTTTTATCAAATTGGCTTTGGAATGTTGGTTTTCTTAAGATTTTTAGTATTTTCAGAAAACGGTGGTTTTTGCAAACATATACTACTTTATCATTGTCTTTGTCTTACTCACTATAATCGATCAGTCGTATGCATAAAGTGGAGCAATTGCTTTTACTCTATCTCCGTCCCTTTTTGCTACATTGAAGCTGAATATGTTTATCCCAAAAAACTCAAGCAAAAGCATATGCTCGTGTTTTATGCATATGACCCAATAAGTAAACCTTTAAATGTCATTTTCATTGAAATTAAACTAAAAACAAGTTGCCTATAATTTATTTGGAGAATTTTAATTATTATAATCATTATTAATGAATTATTAAATTGAATTTTAAACAAAAAACCCTTTTAAAATGTTATTTTTGCTTTCCGAAATGAGATGTGGCAACGTTGCCTTTAGTTGGCCATTTTGAAGTGACGCCTTGTAATTTTTTGCCAGTTTTTCCTCGAATTTTTCACTTTTCCGGGGCTTTTCAATGGAAAAAGGCAATTTAACATACGAGGCTTTGAGTTTTCTTCATTTTCTAGCAAAAATGTCCAGTTTTAAAATGACATAAATAACAAAATCCCATTTAAAATGTTTTTTTTTTTGAAGTTTTGATGTGGCAACACCGTTTGTACCAACTTCAAATAGGTTTTGTAATAAATGTCATTTGCCAGTTTTGACAGTCGGCAATTTTTAATTGACGTGTTTACATTTCTATTCAGTTTTTCCTCGAATTTTCCACTTTTCCAAGCCGTTTTTAGTCAAGAAACCCGATTTAAAATACGAGGCTTTGAATTTCCTACATTTTGTGCTAAAAATTCCCAGTTTTCCAATGGGGTAAGTGACAAAAACTCAAATTTCATTAAGTAGGCTTTGGAATGTCATTTTTAGAGGTTTTTCTTTGAATTTGTCCGCTTTTCCAGGGCTTTTCTGGTCGGAAAAACCGATTTAAAGTACGAGGCTTTGAGTTTTCTTCATTTTCCACCAAAAATTTCCAGTGTTTTAACGGAGTAAGTGAGAAAAACTTTAGTTTTATCAAGTAGGTTTTGGAATGTCATTTTCGTTGGTTTTTTTTTTTGGAATTTTTATTTAAGGTTTTTGGGGTCCGGGGATCGTCTTTTTTGACGTTGACAGCTGTCAATTTTTTTTTGACACAAATTTATAGTTGGCGTCGCGAAACTGCCTTGTACCGGGGTTTGGTTTTCGTAGCTTTTATAGTAGAGCGGGAAAAAAGTCGAACATGTGTCAAATTTGACAGGTGACATTTGTTAATATTGCCAAAGTGTCGTGCGACAAAAGTTTTATCCGAACGAACCCGTTCATTGTTAACTGATTTTTAATACTCCGGCCCTTCGGGCCGTAATCTTTGAAACAAAAAGACGTCATTTTGTATCGATTGTCAAAAAAACCCAAGGTTTGAAATTTCAATTTTTTGACGTTTGTTGTATCATGAGCAGCGTTGCCATATGTTTTTATCAAATCTCGATTTATAGGTTATTTTAAACCCAATCATTGACATTTCTGAAAAATATTTCCTTTAAAATTCCTAAATATCCTTTAGAATTTCCAAAAATCTATTAAAATCTCAGAATTCCATAATTTAGTGGAACTTCGGTAGAATAATTATGTTATTCTGAAAAAGGAATTAAAGGTGAAATTTTTGCGGAGTTTCCATAGAATTCACATTAAATTTTAATTCCTTTCGAATTACTTGAAATTTCAGTGAAATTCCGATCGAATTACACAAAATCCTAAATAAATTACATGGAGGAATTTCAAACAATTACATGAAATTACACCGAAATTCTCTACATGAAATTTCAGTTTTTACTGAATTTTAGTAATGCCGAGGAATTTCCAGCTAAAAACATGGAATTTCGGTGATATTCCGAAAAATTACCATGTAATAACATGAAATTTCAATATATTTCGATGAATTTTTAAGAAATTACTTGAAACTTCATTAATATTCCCAGAAATTCCTGGCTATTAAAAGAGAATTTCAGTGAAATTCCGAAAAATTCTTATGAAAATAAATTAAATTTTGAAAATTCCTTGAAGTTTCATTGGACTTTCGAGAAATTTTCGGTTATGAACGTGGATATTCTCATAAAATTTTAGTGAATTCTGAGAAATTTTTGAGAAATTACATGAAATTCCAAAAAAAAATATGAAAATTTTGTGGAATTCTAGGATATTTTAGTGGAAAAATATATGGAATTTTGAAATTGAAATCTAAGTGGAATTCCTTCATGAAATCCTATACTGTAATTAGCCTCCTCACTTGAAATAGTCACGAGCCGCCAGTGATAACTACTACTACTATTACAGGATAGCTTATCATCATGAGGCCTGTGTATATCAAATCTCAAGTCCCCCACCACACCAAAAAACCAGTGATTACATAGGAAGCGTGTCGTTTCTCGCCTTGACGTAGGGTGTTTTCACCACAGGTTATGATTCCATGATAACATTTTTCATCAAAAATGTATATTCTAAACTATGACTGCTTGCGCAAACATCCTTGCATTTGTACTCTTTCGAAACGAAAAACTTCCTCTGTGTAAACGTCAAACATTGTTGCACATATATAGGAGTTTTTGGAAACACTTATCCTCGCACTCACTCGATTTCAGGCCTTTTCATTATCTACTCTTAAATTTCCTAGAGAAACCTTAACGCACGTTGCGTTTTGAAGGTAGGGCATGATCATTTGAAAGATAGGGCATTGCCCCCCAATGCCCCCCCCCCCCCTGGCTACGGCCCTGGCCCAAATCCACCTCAATGGCTTTACATACTTTCAATATTTTGCTCTGTTAACTTCCTAATGCTAAAAATATTTTTTGCAAGTGTGAGTAAATACCATTTTATCGTTTTTTTTCATTTTTGTCTGATCATTTAATACAAAATTCATCAGATAATATAATTTCCTTTAGGATAAATATTCAAATTTTGCCCCACATATGTATAATTTTCTTGATAATTTTAGAACTTCAACATAAAATTCATCAGCACCAATAATATGGTGATTCATAAAAACACAGATTTTCGAAATTAATATAGTCAACAGGCCACTGTTTTTACTGATAAGGCACGAATAACGTGCTATTAGATTTTATGGCTTGTATTTTTTCTCTTGATAAAAAGTATCCTACGGAAAACTTATTGGAGGATATAATAATATTATGTATTTTAACGTTTCCTCGAAAACTGATATGCAATATATGTTCTCAGATAAATAAGCAGCATTTAAGAAGAAATTGTCAAGGATATTGCAGACAATTAATTTGTATCCTTTTCACCAAATATTGTCAATTTCTACATCTTTTGAGAATTCTGGTTGATTGAACCTCGTCTTAAAACCCTAATAATTGAAAAATTGATTATTATGAACTGATTGCTTGTTAATATTCATTGCTTGGAACGTTTCATCAAAATTACCGAATCCTGATTTTCTCGATTAAATCCAACCAAATATAGGATAGTCATTGCACCAGAAATCAAATCATTCAGCCATGCATCATAAATTGTCCAAAAATGCACTCCACACAAATCTATTCTTACCTAAAATATATCCTTCTAGTCCACTTCTGACAGCACTTGAAAAAATATTTAAACTTTTCTTTGCAATTGTTCCTTTACCATCACCCATAGTACTGCCACTCAAAGACACAGTATCACTTTGAGTACTCTGCCTGGCATATTGTTGATAATTGTGATTTTGTTCTGATGCTGGATATCCTAAATAAATAAACCAATTTTCAAAAAAAAACCAATGCTTCACTTACTCAAACAAAAATTATACCTTGATAGATTTCGTTACGAGTTTGAGCAGTTGAATTATCGTTGTTGCCATGATAGGGTGGAACCTCGTAAGTATTTTCTTCAAAATCGGAATCGTCCCATCCGTCATCGGAACCTTTGTCAGGTTCTTGTTGGGCTTTTTCTGTTCCTGGCAAGCTCCATGGTAAAGCCGGAGGAGGTATACTGGGCGGACCGGATTCGATTTTTTCAACGTAGGCTTCTGGAAATAGACCTGATTGGCCTCTAGAATAATGAAATTAAAATAAAAATTATAAAACCTCTATTGGCAAAGTTTTGAAGTTTTTCAAGGGGTGCAGTAATATTTCTATTGATGTAGCAGGAGTTCTGATAACATGATGACAGCCTACATAATTTTATATCTCTTAATAAAATCTAAATATAGGTGTTGCAGAGGAATATCGACGTAACCATAATTTTTTCTAAAATTGAGTTAGGTATGTTTTAGATATTTATGTATTGACATTTTTCATTAAAAAAATCGGCAATGCTGTAATTGTTGCGGCTTTTCCAAACAAAATTATTGGTAAAACCCTGTTGGCGAAAGGGGGACTAACGATAGAAGGAAAAAATAAATAACGAACCTCAGATTTGGTGACGTCATCTTAATTCTAGCGTGCTCAGAAGAACTTATCCAATAATAAGAAAGTTGGACAGGATCTGGATTAGCAGAAAACATGTTGAACAAAACAAAAACACAAATTATGATAGTAGACTGAGTAGTAGGGTAATTTTTATTATAGTGGTAAACCGCAGTCCTACTATACTGTGTGACAGAAAAGCCGTATCACCCCATATAAATATTTGTTAACCAAATTCTGTACATATGCTTGGGCTATTAAAAGTAGAATTTAAATTATTAAACTTGAACCAACACCTTCTAATATTTCAACTATATTAAATTTTGGAAGATTACTAGGGCTATGCTTAATAAATCAAATTATAACAGGAATTCTGTCCGAAGCTTTTGTAAAGTCAATGTATATAAAATATTATGTGGGACCCCTACTTCCAAAGGTTTCCAAAAGAAAATTTGTAAATGTAAGAGGTTTAACTCAGTGGAGCAAAAGGGGAGATATCCAAATTGATGGTTGATGAAACCGTTACCAGCAGACAAGTAGTCATATACCTACTAAACTTTCAAATACTTTTCATACAACTCAAGATACTGATGGGCCTATAATTACTGACTTGAGAATTATCACTTGTTTCAAGTATTGGAGTAACGGAGCTTCAGTTCCAAAAAGTGGAAAAATTTCCGGTTTTCAGAGATAGATTAAAAATGATATGAAGTGGTTGAGAAAACATAAAGCTACACTGTCTAAAAAGATATGCAGGAAGGCCGTTAGGACCAGGTCCTTTGTCTATATCTAAGGTTGATAACTTTTCATAAACTGATGGGATCAATATCAAGTGAAAGATTGATGTCCCCAGAATGGAACAAGTCCTGCAAGAAACAGTCTCTATCACTGTACTTTTGAAATGTATTTTGCAAACATATTAACAATATCTTCTTCCCTAGAACTCAAACAACTGATGATAATACTACTATTTTCCTTTTGTAACAAATTTCCAAAAATTCATAATTTCTGAGAGCCGACTCAGTTTAAGTTACGTAACTTTGGTAACATTATTTTCAAGGGACAAACCACCTAGGAATTATTTGCCAAAAATGTGGGGAATTTAGAGGAATTTGTGGGAAATTTAGAGGAATTTGTGAGGAATTTGAAGGAACTTATCCGAATTTATGAGAATTTGGGGAATTTGGAGGAATTTGTGGGGAATTTGAGAGAATTTGTGAGGAATTTAAAGGAAATTGAGAAATTTAAAAAATTCAAAAGAATAATGAATACAGTTTTTGTAGGCTGATTTCCAAGATTTTTCATGTTGTTATTTTCCACTAAAAAAATTTGAAATTTTGGGAAAATGAGCTTCTTACCTTCTTCTTTACATGCAAAAAGTTTCAAAATTTTCCCTTCACTAGTTTTTCAGGAAATCTTTGAAATGTGTGAGACTGTATTTTCAATTAATTCAGTTTTTGTAGGTTGATTTCCAAGATTTTTCATGTTGCTGTTTTCCACTGGAATAATTTGAAATTTTGGGAAAATGATCTTCTTACCTTTCTATTTACATGCCAAAAGTTTCAAAATTTTCCCATCACTAGTTTTCCAGGAAATCTTCGAAATGTGTGAGACTGTATTTTCATTTAATTCAGTTATTGTAAGTTGATTTCCAAGATTTTTCATCTTGCTGTTTTCCACTGGAAACATTTGAAATTTTGGGAAAATGAGCTTCTTACCTTCTTCTTTACATGCAAAAAGTTTCAAAAAAAACTTTAAAATGTGTGAGACTGTATTTTCAACTAATTTAGTTTTAGTAGGTTGATTTCCAAGATTTTTCATGTTGCTGTTTTCCACTGGAAACATTTGAAATTTTGGGAAAATGAGCTACTCACCTTCCTCTTTACATACAAAATGTTTCAAAATTTTCCCTTATTTTTGAGGAATTTGTGGGGTATTTGAAGAAGTTTATGGTGTAGTATTTGGAGGAATTTGGGATGGGAAATTTGGAGGAATTTGTAGGAATTATGCGTAAAAAATTCCCCTTTGAGGAATTGTTTGCGCCAATTCTGGGATCATTTGATTATTTTTCAAAGATTTACACTTTGTTCTTAAAATGTAAAATTTATCATAATCTGAATATACCTTACTCAGAACTAAGATATTTTTGTGCATTTTCTTTTTTTCAATTTTCAAGAAGGTTTTTGAAATAATGAAAATTTCTGATCCTTTAAGAAACAATGGGGTTTTTTTGATTTTGGTGAAATAATTTTTAACGAGGTTTTCAAGCTCTTGAGGAAGCAAAGAGTACCTAAACGTCTTAGCTGAAAACCTTTTTAAAGTAACAATAATATCAACTGTTAAATGAACAATATTATAAAATATATTGACCATTTCATTAAGAGATTTGCTATTAATAAATAACTTGTCCCATTCAAATTGAGATAAAAAATCAGCTGTTGCAATTATGTCCATTGATTTAAAGTCTCTATTAAAGCCATCGCCCCTCAGGCCAGAGCTGGTAAAATGTAAAGATTCACACTCTATGAAGAAGGAGAATGGTGGATAATAAAGGTCTATTGGCAGTAGAGTGTTTTCTGCCTGAACTAGGGAGACGTCTGCCTTTCTTGCAAAAACACTAAATCCAAAAAACTGTTTTTTACTGTGTTTATGTGGAAAAGGCTCGGGAAAAGGTTATGGTAGGAGCATAGGTGAAATAATACCCGAGTGGATTCAATTTCGTTTTGAGTGCTTCCTGCTAGAGGGGTTGCCAGTTCATCCTTATGTTAAGCTTCCTTTAAATTATCACTCCATACAGTGCATTATTGTTAGATTTTAAGCTGAAATGTTTCAAAAAACAAGGGCAGACAAATTGAGAATTAAAGTGAGTGTGAGAATAGGAATTCTTTTGCATTTTATTTAAGATAAACTCACATAATGTTAAGAATTCTCATTCCTTAAGGCATTTTTATCGAAGATTTTCTGTCTTGAGTCCAAATGAGTTGAAATTTCCAGAGTTTGTGCTTGTAGTCCTCTAGTACAACAAGATTTATTAGAAATTTCAGCTTTTCATCTTTAATAGGTAAAATTGGTGATATGATTTTTTGGGTTGAGTTTCTAAAAATCTTTTGGGAAATCCTAATCAAAAGACTTCCCCTTATAGTTGGGAATCTGACGTCTCCTAGGAAGCCTTTTAAAGATGCTCTATACAAGTCACGAACATCCACCTAAAAAACATGAAATCCTATGTAAAATGTCCTGCCGGATTCGAATTTCTTGTTCGCCCTTTGATCCGGAATTGCGAAATGTCTCAAAACATGACATTTTTGAAAAAACTGAAAATTTCCATTGAAATAATTTTTTTTGAAAACTAGTGGATAACTTTGTTAATTGATGTCCGATTGTTATGAATTTTGGATATGATATTTTTCAGTACTTCCCTGACATAGTTTCATAACAATAAAAAACATAGAACGTCACATAAAAGCTACATAATTTTTTTTTCGTCAGATGACACAAAATATCGTCATTTTGCAGCGTTAAATGGTGAGTTGAGGAAACTTTTTTATCTTTAGAAATAGATACCTAGTATAAGCGAGAAAAATGTTGCCAATAGAGTAAAGAAACTTTTTTACTAAAACTTTTTTTCCATACGACGTTTAGTTTGAGGTGTATTCTTTTTTAAAAACCGAAGAAAATTGAATCGCCGCGTCTCAACTCTCGGCATTGCCGGTGAGCGCGGACTCAGGACGCGGTGAGCAGCTAAAGCGATTAGTGTGTCAAAGAAAGTTAACACCACAGCCTTCTTCACATGTGCAAGAAAGATAACGCGACGACACCGACGGCAGAAGCGTTCCTTTTGAATTTCATTTTGTTTTTCTCCCGCTTATGTTTGTTATTGTAAAAGACATGAAGTACCTACCCACAGATTAAGTCGTCCTAATCTGTTAATCTGTGTATTTACCTATCATAAGTCAAAATATCAATTTCAACGAGTGTATTTTGTGTCAATCAAGTAATTAGGAAACGGTACAGAGTGTCACAAAAAAAGCTGTACCTACATTTCCTGTTTCAAGCATGTATTGTCATTGAGAAAGGCGATCGTTATTCCATAGCTCTTACGGCTAATTTCATGATCAACTTAAAGTAAACTTTCCATTTGAAGTTGAAAAATCCTATCCTAAAAGTCTATTTAGCTAAAGTAACTTTTAAGTAATTCTCTATTATGAAATTGGCCGTTAGATACTATGCTGACAAAAGAGAACTGTTTTTATCATTAAATCCTGTTTATCACCCTAAATTCTAAATGTAAACGAGCTTATACCCGGAAAGCCTACAAGAAAAGACCTGAACCAGAAGAAGGTGCTTCAAAATGTACTAGTAAGCGAATTAAATCCTCTTATTCAAAGATTTGCATAATATGCAATAAAATTCGCGATAGTAGGGGTTTGAGAAGACTCAATCAAATACTGACATTTGATAAGCAAAATGAAATATGGAACATGGCAAAAACAACCATCAAGTTTTGCATTGAATTCAAGGATTTGGTAATAATTGTATTTACATGATTGCTCACGGATGTGCATATCAATCGTATCATAGTCTGTGTTTCTTGAAACTATTCCAAAAATCAAAATCAGAAGTAAATTCCCTACAAGAATCTGA